CGCCCGCGGCGGACTCCTCTGTTAAAAGAAGGGGGGGGGGGGGGGGGGGTTCCCTTTGGAAATCTAGAGCCCAGCTCTTGTACATTTCAAAGGCTGAGGCACGGCAGGGAGCATGGGACCAGCAGGGCTTCTGCTTCTGAACTGTAGCAAGAGCCCTGGTACAGTTCAAAGGCGGAGACGCCCTTAGAGACTAATCAAATCGACGATGGAAATCCCATCAACTTTTCGATTCGTTAATCTAACTTTACGACCCCTAGGGGAACACTGCTTATCGGTACAGCAATAAAGCCATTTGGCCGCATCCTCCCTGCGGCTTGTGCTGCTCAGCTATTCTGGGGCAGCATTAGCATTACCACTGGTTTAGAGGAGTCCCAGGAACTCACACACCCAGGGGGTTCTGTACAGCCACAGAATGCCACCCACGTTTGGCAGCACGCCAATCGCTATGTCCCCAAGTGCCACGTGGATCGGAGCAGGGAACCTTTTTGGGGTCGGGAGCCACTGACCCACAGAAAAAAAATCAGTCGGGGGCTGCACACAAGTGAGAAGCACAAAAAAATACACCTCACTAAGGAAGTCCCCAACTGAGAAGGAGAAAGACCCTACTCCCATTCCCCTTGCACCCAGAGCCTGGGGGGGGCCAGGCTAGTAGATTGTGTGTGCTCCAACCCCATGGGGAAGAGTGGGGGGGTCTGGAGTGCCAGCACGTGCTCCCCAATGCTGATGAGAAGCCCCGAGATTCAGGGGCCAGATCCAGCCCCGGGGCCTGAGGTTTCCCACCCCTGATGTAGAAGCATGAGAACATCGCATGCAGCCATTGCTGTAGGCAACACAAATCAACAGTTAGAGGCACCTGAGTACAAGTAGCAAAGGCTGGATCCTGCAGCTGGAAGACAAGAGGAGGTTGGTAAGTGAGATGGAGACTCTCCGTCTAGAGCAGGAGAGAGTTTGCACAGCCCTCTTTATCGAGGGAGTCAAGGTAGGGATGTGAAGGACTAGTCGACCAGTCGCTTCCCCCCCCCCTTGCTGCCTCTATCAAATAGAGGCAGCAAGGGAGGGTATGAAAAGGGGGTACTTCAAGGCAGCAGCGCTGCTTGGAGCCTGGGGCCAGACCCCGGGCTCCACACGGCGCTGCCGCTTTGAAATGCTGCCTGCAGCCCGGGACCAGCTGTTGTGTCTCCAGGCTGCACGTGGCGTTTCAAAGTGGCAGTGCTGCGTGGAACCTGGGATCAGGTGGTCCCAGCTGACTCCGGGCTCTACATGGTGCTCTCTCTGGGTATGTCTACACTACCCTCCTAGTTCGAACTAGGAGGGTAATGTAGGCATACCGCACTTGCAAATGAAGCCCGGGATTTGAATTTCCCGGGCTTCATTTGCATAAGCGGGGCGCCGCCATTTTTAAAACCCCGCCGGTTCGAACCCCGTGCCCCGTGTAGCCGCGCTCGTTTCCTTGCCTCCAACCTGGGGAACACCAAGGCCCAGGAGAAGGAAGTGCCAGGAAAGTTGTTTCTTCCAATTTCAAGGCAGCTTGAGGTCACCTGCAGTCTTAACTACTCATGCCCCAAACTGCCCGGGAAGACGTGCAAGGGAAATTCAAGCCTTAGACCTGGTGTAACTGCTTTGTGGGATGGCACCAGCGAGCAGGTCCTAATGGACAGCCGGTAACATAGGCAAGGGAAGGCATAGCCTTCCCAAAATTGCCTACACACCCCCGGCGTGAGGCTGGAGCCAGGGCCCAGGCTTCAGCCCGGCAGCTCCAGCCCTCCAGGTGGCCAGGAAGGATCAAGCTGGACATGGGTGGGGCTTGGTACCAGGGGCGGGGCCTTAGGTGGAAGGGGCGGGGGGTCCCCCGCCGGGACTTCACCCGCCGTCAAAGCCCAAGGCAAGTGACCAGGCAACAGATTGAAAGAGCTGCCGCCATGCAGTCGAGTAGGAGGGCTCCTGGGTTGGATGGTAGAGCAAGGCGCAGGAAGCCGGGGAAAGCCACTTCCTGTTGCAGCGAGGCCAGTGGAGGTGGAGGGTTGAAACCCCACCTTACGCTCCCACAAGGTAACATGCTCTGAAACCCATGAATGAAGCAGAGACCTCCAGCAAGTTCTTTGCAAACTCCTGTTTTGCTGCTGTCCCCCGGGGGGTCACTTTCACCTTCCTAGCTTGGGATGGAAGAAATTGCTAAACTCTCCTGAAAAGCCACAGCATTGAGATGCCAGCCAGCTGCCTGTGTTTATTATGTGAAACACTCCACTCCTCCACGGCGCGTTAGCACCGGAAAGGAGGGCACTGTGTCTCACCAGCCCACTCCGGCTCTGTTCGGAGAACAGGCTGCCGTCGCTGAAGGAAGACCCAAGCAGGAAGGAGTAGGTGGTCTTTCTCTAAGGTTCCTTTTGGAATTTTAAGCCTTTTCCTTGAAATCAGGACATTCCCAATCCAGGGAAGGGAAAGAAAGCAAGTCTGGCATAGCACTGAATGCAGGCCTGTTTCCGTAGCCTCTAGCCAAAATGCCCTACACCAGTGGTGGGCAACCTACTGTCCCTGGGCTGCATGGGGCCCACTGGGACTCCACCATTGGCCCACAGACCCCCTGGCTGCCCCCTCCCCAAGCGCCTCTCACACACCAGGGCATTGGAGGCCTGCAGTCCCTATGCCTCCCCCTCCCTCCCAGCACTTCCCCATCCCTGCCTCCTGCCCCCCTCACCCTCACCAGCTGAAGGCAGCAAATCAGCTGTTTGCAGCATTCCAGCTCTGGGAGGGAGGGGTTAGGAGCAGGTAAGTGTGGGGTTCTGGAGAGGTGTGGGGGAGACGGCAGACCAGGGGCCTGCAGGTGGAACCCCAGGGGGCCCCGAGCTGCAGCGGCCCACGGAGGTGAAGGAGGACCACTCATGCGCCCCCTCTCCACTATTTGTGGTTGCCCATCCCTGCCCTGCACTATAGCCAGCCAGGTCTGGGGTTAGGGTGTGTGACCCCTTCCGCAAGGAAAGCAAACATTTGGGCCACATTTAGGTCCCCACAGAACTGAATTAAGACCCTGGAGAGTCTAAGTATCCCTTTAAGAGGATACCCAGAATCCCACCTACACTTAAAACACTGGTTTGGGGGGGCAGGAAAGCCTGTTTTCACCTGTCACGTAGACTGGTGTCATCTGTAAATACGCAGGGGGGAGGGGAGGGGGCTGAAGTGACAGGCAGGGGACTCAGAGCACGAGCAAGGCTCTATGCACAACACCTCCCCCGTTCACACCTCTACCCCAAATGGGCCAACTGTGACTCAGTGGAACAAGTCAGTCTTAGGGGTGAGCCACACAGTCGGGCAGCGGCGTCCTAGCTGCCAGCTGCTGCTTCTGCACAGCTCCGGCCTGGTGCAGGACAGCAAGCACCCGGCCGCAGGCCCCGGCTCCTCTTCCTGCAACAACCCCTACCTGTGAGCAAAGCAGCCGTGCAGGAAATTCAAGGCTAAAAATAGGCCCCTGCCTCAGTACTTAGCAAAAAAAAAGCCCAAACCCCTTTCTAGAAGGAGAGCAGCCACAGCATGCCGCCGTCTCCCCTCCCCCAATCCTGCAGCGTGAGCACGATCCCCCTCCCCCAACCAGAGGAGGGTGGCAGCGGGCAGGCCCTTCCGTTCCCCACCCCCTGCCTTGCCTGCACAAATTCCTAGCAGCAAGGGATGTTACAAACAGGCTGCGTCCTGGCTAGGGCAGGGGACACAGCTGTCTAGTCCGGGGGGGTGGGGGTGAATCTGCTCCCACCTTCAGCCATGTGTAGTTGCAGGAGCCGGAAACTGGCAGGCAGTTGGGGAGACTGACACACACACACGCACACCGGGGTGTGGAGCGGAGACACAGCCAG